GTGTTTCGATTTAAAACCAAATAATGCAAAAAACCTAGAGATTGATGACATAAATTTAAAAACGAACCTAAATACGGAGGATCTAAAGGCAAAATTCTTTTTATTTATTAAGTTTAACACGAAATGGGAAAATTGTGCAAATAGTGTCTACACATTCGAATTAAATAATAAAATAAATGAAACATGGGATGATTTTGTAAAAAACGCTAAATGTCTAGTGGCTTGTGCGTGGTTTTTTCTTCTTCTAAAAGCTATGGTATTTAAACCTCTTTTTTGCTATTTCAGGAAACAAACTAAACCCTAGCCATTTTCAATGTTCTCTTTGTTTTTTTCTCCAACACTTCTTCTCGGCAAAATCAACGAGATAATGCGTTGATTTTTTTTTTTCACGAGATAGTGCCCTCGCCAGATTAATTGCTCAGATAGGGTGATCTCTACAGTCCCACGTCTCTGGGGGTAGGTCGCCATGCACGCCCCAACACGCTGGGCATCCGAGACCATCCGACCGAGGCCATCCGAACGAGCTATGCGAGGGCAACCGAGCGAGCTATGCGAGGGAATCCGAGCAACCGAGCGAGGATAGGTCGCCCGGACCTTTGGGGGCTGCATGGATTGCATGGCGACCTACCTAGGTCGCTGGGCGTGCATGGCGACCTGGTAGGTAGCTGGGCGTGCATGGCGACCTATATGGGTACTGCATAAATCACCCCATCTGAGCAATTAATCTGGCGAGGGCACTATCTCGTGAAAAAAAAAATTTCAACGCATTATCTCGTTGATTTTGCCCTTCTTCTCTGCTCAACCGAGAACCATCGAGCCCCTTTGAAACCTAGATTCCGACCATCATACTTTGGTGGCCTCTCCTCCCTCTGACCACCTTATACGACGGCAAACAAACCGAAAACCAAATCTAAAATAACCTAAACCCCTTTGTTTTAGCCCCTCAACCTAGGTCTACGATCTAGAACATCAAATAAGGCACCCAAAGTCTAAAAATCTTTCTTCCCCTTTTGCCCTCTCGAACTCCAGCCACCACCAGTGGTGGTCGGGAAACGTGATCGACACCTAAATGATTCCCAAAGACAACCAAAGCCTTCGGTTCCCTATTCGAAAACATGGTTTGAGGATATGAACGATTTTTTTTTTATTTTGCTGAAGATTATCATGAAGATAATTGCTCAACTTTCAAATTTCTGTTGGTGAAATTGTACTGTCGAATATTCTTAAAACAAAGGTTGTGGTTTTTGACTTTGTAATGTGGATTCTTACATTTTGTTATGTTTTCATGGCTTTGATTAAAAGTGTATTGCCCGGCAGGACTTATTATTCGAGCAAGATGTTTCATACGATTCAATCGTAATCTTTTACATGTTAAACCTGAACAGAAAATTTTTATATAAAAAAGTTACAAACACATAATCCGAGATTGAAGTTGATAACTCATTTCCATTGTTATTCTAACGAGGGAAGTGGGTGAGAGCTCAAGGGTGAAAGACAAAGAGAAAGAGGTGCTTGGGTGAGCTTGAGGTTGTTCCTATAACTACTGGGTGTATGGTAACACAATCATAACCCTTATTTACTGCTTGTAGATCAACATGTGTAGTTTTGATGCATGTTTGGGGTGTATGAGCCATTTGTGTGCACTTGGGGGTTTAAAGCATGAAAAAGGGATTTAGGGGTTTTGAGGACACTAGAGAAACGTTTTGGGAAGTTTTAGACGAGTGAAACAGAGTTTTTTGGGTAGAGGATATCGCAACTATAAGAAAAGTACCGAAATTGTTAGTTATATAAGGGCAAAATTCAAAAGGTTTGTGAGGAGAGTATCAATATCCTAACAAGGAGTATCGATACTGTTCAGGAAAATATCGATACTCGGGGCTTAGTATTAATACTTGGGGTCTTGTTCAGATTCCAGAATGTAATTTTGGTATTGGTACTCATTGGAGTATCAATATCGAGGGTATAATATTGATACTCGGTATTGATATTCCCAAAAAGGGTATCAATACCGATGTATTTTTCAAAACATCGAAAGCTATTTTGGTATTGATATTCAAGGGAGTATAGATGACCAAGAGGGAGAGTATCAGAGTATTGATATTGAGATATTTTCCAAAAACATCGAATATAAATTTGGTATCGATACTTGGGGAAGTATTGATACCACAGGAGGGGAGTATCGATACCTAAGGAGGAGTATCGGTACCATCGTGAATGTTTAGGCTATAAGCTTAGCTTGGATTTGAAAGACGAAACCAAAGGGTTCGGTGAGGGAAACCTTCTAATAAGCCTACAAGTGGAAACCTAAATGAATTGTATGATAACATAAGATCTTAATGAGGTAAGATTCCATAAGACTTATGCCTTGTTTGATACTCAGGAAACATTGAGAACACCTGAGTTACTTGTGTACGACGTTGATATAGTGGAGTAAATGATTATTCGAATATATCCAATTCAATTCTTGTGCACTTTAAATGCTAGTTGGATGTTGCTTCGATGCTAAGTGTTCCGGGCAAATCCCAAGTACTCTAGAGGGGTAGACTAGTTGAGTGAGTTTTCGATGCTATGTGACTCAGACTCAACTCGAGGTTTAGGGAGGCATTGATGTTGTGTGACCCAATACTCACCTAAGGTTCTTTAGTAAGCAAATAGGGGTGTGAGTTTCGTGATGTTAAGTGACCTCGAGCTGCACCATGATGCTTACTTTGGTTGTTGTGTTATTGTATGCAATTGTTCATAACCATACTTGTAGATGCTCATTTGTTGAATGCATGTAGTATAGTTCGGTTATTTGTGTAGCACTGAGCTTGTGAGCTCAGCGTATCTAATGTGTTTCCGTACGCAGGTTCTTAGATGCCATCAGAAGAGCTCGTCGCCTAGTTTTTCAAATTTTTAGACTCGATCATCCTATCAGAGTGCGTCTCAAGTATTGTAACCTTAGATGTTTAATATTTGAGTTGTAAACTCTATTTTATACTCATGTATCTTGGAGACTGCTGTCGGGAGCTCCCTGTATTGAAATACTTACATTTTGTATTTTTGTGATTATTTTGGGTATTTATATTATGCCCGAATGTTAATTTGGTCAATATTCTTTTTAAAAAATGGTAGATGGTTTCGTGTGACATTCTAATCATCCGGACTTTGAGTCAGATCAGATTAGGGTTTTACATATATAGTAATAATGACAGAGTAATCAAAGTATGAGTAACTTAAAAGTTTAATGAATAAATAAAAAAATTAAACTTTAATGACTAAAATAAGAGTAAAAAGAAAGTTGAATGCTAATATTTGTAATTTACCCAAAAAAAGTTTTGCTTTTTTTTTGTTTGTTCCAAAAATGAGTGTTGATTGTATCAACCATTCTCAATTTATGATCTGAAATTTAATTTGATTTATAAATTTTTAAAATATTCTAATTAAACCTTTAAAGTATAATATTATATCGTTTATGTTTGTTCATCAATCTAACTACTAATTAAGCCACCAAATGACCACTCAAATCTAAATTGAACCATACTAAAAAAATACATGAAACAAATTGTAAATATTTATACCAATTATATGAATAATTTAAAATTTATTTTAAATGTTTTATTTGTCAAATCAAAACTAATATTTAATATCTAAATTAAAAGTTAAATTGTTAAAAAAATATTTGATAAAATTAAATTAAAATGATATGTTTGTATCAGTCTTATGTCAAATTATTTAATAAATACATATTTTAAAGATTATATTTAAACACTCGAATACTTTTATATATATATATATATAATGTTGGATTTGAAAATCACATGAACTTCTCAATTCTCATGTTGTGTAAATATATGGTTATTTAAGTATTTAAATATATTATTTTAAATATGTATTTATTGAGTGATTAAATATAAGGTTAATACACACGTGTCGTCGATCTATGCTTGTGTTCGTCTTCAACACACATTACAGGTGTTTCTTCTTTTTGGACAAAATTCATAAATCTCTTTCATATTTTGTCCCCTCTTTTTATTTTTCTTTCATTTCAATCCAACTCAATCGACTTTTGTAGAAACAACTCGTAAAACACGTCTTTTTATCACACAGAAGACATATCCTATAAAATGTGTATTTTATTACATTGATAGAAGATGCTTTTTACGAAAAACACTTTTATGGGAAACGCTCACGTGCGGCGCCTTAGCATACGGTTAAAATAAAGTACTATCAGTTTTGTTATTATTTTAAATAACAAAACCGGTAGCATCTTTTTTAGTCTATTCTATGACCTCGCACCGCAGAACTGCTCCACTTTTATTAATGTGGTAGGAAAAAGTGCTAATTCCTGAATTATTAATGGGTAAACTACGTATTTAATATTTAAATTATTAGTTTTGATTTGTTTTAGTATCTAAGCTTTTAATTTTTTCAAAATCATATTTAATGTTTAGTTTTTATTTCATTTTAGTGCCCAACTGTTAAAAACTTAACACGTTTAGTACCTAAACTATCAATTTTAGTATGTTTTAGTAGCTAAACATCAAAAAATTTAAAATTTCACGTTAAATTTTGAACTGTAGTATTAAAATAAAATAAAAACTAAATTTTAAATATGATTTTGAAAAAAATTAAAAATTTATAGATTAAAATGTATCAAGACTGGTAGTTCATGCACTAAATGCATAGTTTGCCCATTATTAATTTATGTGTATTAAAATAAAAAATGATTTTTTATTAGGTGATGTTAGAATAAAAGAAACCATTTAAGGGGACCCTTTCTATAATTACCCCTTATAAAATCTCCTTTGATTGAAACACTGGTTTAGGTCTTCCCCACTCTCCCTCGTTTTTTAATATTTGGGGCTTCTCTTTCTTTCTTTCTTTCTCTTTCTCTTTCTCTTTCTCTTTCTTTCTCTTTCTTTCTGTTTCATTCTCTTTCATAGCTTTATATATATATATATATATATATATATATTGCCTTTTCTCTCTCCTCTTTCTATCCAGAAAGGGCAAACCCCTAAAGAGCCGTATACTCTCTCTCTCTCTCTCTCTAGGTAAGTTCTCTCTCTCCTCTCACCTCCTTTTCCTTTGCTTTCCCTTTCTAACGATTTTTGAATACATGGGTCCTTAGTCTTTGTACTATTATTAAATGTATTTTCTTATTAAAATTGTTTATTTGTGGTGTGTTTGAGCTTTTGTAGGTGAAATTTGTGAAAGGCAGATCTATGAATGTTATAAAGTTTCCATTTTTAAAGTCCTTCAACTGCCATAAAAAAACCCAAACTTTATTTTTCCTTTTTTCCAGTTTCTGTTAGTAGATCTGATCATGGGTTTCGTTGCATGCAAAGATTTGACCTTGGGGAAATGTGCGGAATTGGAAACATGTTTGAATCTGAAAGTTCCCATTTTCTGTTGGGATTCTTTAGATTTTTCCGTTTCTGCTATGTTTGTTAGCTGCGAATTGAGATCTTTTGTTTACGTATCTTGGATCTGCGGAAATGTGAAAGCTTACGGTTGAAATTTAGCTCATGGGGGCTTTCCCCTGTTATTTTCTCGGGAACCAAACGGGTTACAAGGCATGGTTTTGATTTGAATGTCTCCGCCTTTGTGGGTGGAAATAATGTGAACCATTGTAAAGAGTTTATTCAATCTGTTGTTTGTTGGTGTTTATGTGTAGCTTCATGGATGACAATGCGTTGAACATGCGGAATTGGGGTTACTATGAGCCTTCCTTTAAAGGACATCTTGGTCTGCAGCTTATGCCGAGCATGGCCGACCGAGACACGAAGTCTTTTATTCCGATGCGTCATCCGAATCTCTTGGCCGCTCCCAATGTTGCCTTTCATCATCGTGACTGCGTTGTTTCGGAGGCTTCTATACCTATGAATTATGTTCGGGATAGTGGGATGAGCCAGAGGGAAAAGTTTTTCAACATGATACCAGCTATTTCTCCTAATTTCGGCATTGTTCCGGAAACTCCGGCAGTTCATTCGATGCCGATTTTGCCGCCGCCACTCGATTCTTCAACGAAAGATGAGAGGGTGGTTCGGAGAGTTGAAGAGCCACCAGCTAGTAAGGAAAGTGTTCAATTGAAGAAAAGGCAGGGCGAGGCTGCTCCTAAGACGCCAAAGACGAAAAAGCCTAGGAAGCCAAAGGATAACACCGATTCTACCATTCAACGTGTGAAGCCAGCGAAGAAGAGCATGGACATTAAAATCAATGGATATGACATGGATATTTCTGGCATTCCAATTCCGGTTTGCTCGTGTACCGGAACCCCTCAGCAATGTTATCGATGGGGTTGTGGCGGTTGGCAATCCGCATGTTGCACCACAAATGTATCCATGTATCCTCTGCCGATGAGCACCAAACGACGAGGTGCGAGGATAGCCGGGAGGAAAATGAGTCAAGGGGCATTCAAGAAGTTGCTGGAGAAACTCGTGTCGGAAAACTATAACTTCAGTATCCCGATCGATTTGAGGACCTATTGGGCTAGACATGGTACCAACAAGTTTGTCACTATCAGGTAGATTTAAATAGGTGGCTACCACCGGCACAGCTCCATCGCATACCGTCCCTGCTTCACTGCTTCAAACATGTACATATTTCTCTGTCCTTTGGAGATCTTTGTTGCCTTTGTAGTTCATGAATTTTCAGTCATGATAATGTTTCAATTATCTTCTCTTTTCTTTGAACTATTTAGTACTTCATTTATGCGTTTGCTTCAAGAACTTTTGTTTAATGATGAGTTCTCTATTTGCTGGATAAGTCTTTGTACATTTAGTGTATATATATGTATGTATGTATGTATGTATGTATGTATTAATTGTTTCCATTGATGTCACAGTTAATATTTCCTCCATTGGTGTTTATATCATCATGGAGAACCTCCAATCTGTGTGAAAGTTTCTGTTGTTTCTCCATGTTCGGCAATGGCCTCTGAAACCTCATCGATTCTTCTTTCGAGTTCTTTGACATATTCCGCCGGAATCTCGAAAACTGTGACGGCTTCGTTGGCTTTCGAAACACCGTATTCCTTACAGAATTCGAGAAATCGAGAAAGTTTTTCAACTTGTCTCTTTGCCTTCCGAAGAATCTCAAGGGCCGTGGCTGCTTCTGGTTTACCTAGTGAATGTACTTCCAATAGTACCTTTGCAATCTCACTGCGTATGCTACTATAAACATCGAAGACCTCGACGACAACACAATCCATGGCTTCGAAAATTAAAGGGACCTTCATGTTATCCGCTCGTGGCCTAATCTTAAGCAACATATCGAGCAAAAGTTGCCGTTTCCGAAGCTTCAACAGCTGCTGAACCATCAATGGACTATCCTCGGCATTTCCGTTTTCATCCTCGACCCAAATGGCACCTCTTTCATCGAGAAATGCATAGTACCGACGAACAAAAAGATTAAAACAGCATGTTTTGCTTAACCTCGAATGCCCGTCGCTGAACCTCGACAAATCAAACGGTAAACGACCCATCTTTTTAACACCCGGGACCCTACAACGAACAAGTTTGTGCACTAGCATCAACCCTTTGATCGCCACCACCCAACTCCTCGTCTTCTCCATCCTTTTACTCAAAGCCCGGACAAAATGGTATAGGTTATTCGGAGAATCTCGAATCCACTCGAGAACTATTTCCGCGTTCCTTCTAACGACGGTGCGTTCGTCATGACTTGTGGCCTTAACGATGGCAGCCACAAAATCATGATTCCGATGCGATACTCTAGCAGAAAAATAGGCCACAACTAGGCATTTCACGTCTTCGATACCAGCGGCGGCCCTCCTCAACATGCTCATTTTTCCAGCGTCGGAATCGTCGCCGGAAGAGGGAGGAAGATAAAGCAGTGGATTTTGGGTTATGAATTCAAATAATGCAGTGGATTTAAGGTGACGACGCCTAGTTATTTGTTCGTTTGTTAAGTTATTTAGCGACGATTGATCGTTGCCATTTGTTATTTGTTTACATAAAGCATTACAGGTACATCTTGGTAACATGTTTGTTACTAAAAACAATTGGCATTGTTCTTGAAATGGTACATAAATTTTGATTTAATTAATAATACCTTGTATTTTTTGGTACATGGTTTTTGGGTAAATTACAAATTTAGTACTTAAACTATCAGTTTTAATTCGTTTTAGTACCTAAACTTTTAATTTTTTCAAAATCATACCTAAAGTTTAGTTTTTATTTCATTTTAGTACCCATCCGTTAAAAACTTTAGTTTTTGTTTCATTTCAGTATCACCGTTCAAAATTTAACGTTAAGTTTTGAAAAAACTGGAAGTTTAGGTATTAAAACGGACAAAACTGATAGTTTAAGTACTAAACGCGTTAAATTTTTAACGGCAAAATACTAAAATAAAATGAAAACTAAATGTTAAATACGATTTTGAAAAGATTGAAAATTTAGGCATCGAAATGAAAACTAAATGCGTAATCTACCCTTTCTTTTTAAATTCTGTTGACGTACAATAAGTGAAGTATTTAATTCCATGCTTATCAATCATAACACTTAATTACCTAATCAAAAGCTTTCTGCAAATATAAGCTTCCAAAAACATGCAGATGGAAACAGAGGATCATGATTAGTGACGGGTCCATATTTTACGGATAAATAAATTTTTATCTTATAAAAGGTTGTTATCTTAAAATTTGATTTTTTCGATTATTTATTTTATTAATAATGTCTACCTTAAGAATTTATTTATGTCGATTTCACGTATAAGTATCTTCTTTTAAGGGCTATAAATCATATCCATCTATATTGGAGCTACTTCAATTGGAAAAGGAACTTGGCAATGAATTTCTCCAATGGAAGTGCATGGTGGATCGAATAATACTACGTACTCTTCGATCAGTGGTGGATTTAAAACTTTAAAAAACGATGGTTTAAAATTTTAATATTATTTTCTTAAAAATAATAGATCATTTTACTCTATGCATCTCATTAAATTTAATTATTTTTTTCCTTCAAAATAACGGGATGCGCTTGATCTCCTTAAGGAGTTTAGTGCATGCTTGATCTCCTTAAGGAGTTTAGTGCATTCGTTCCTGTCTACAAGACTACAGCCTCCCCTCAATCATCTAATATCAAACTGATCATCGAAATATATTCGAACCCGAATATAAATAAACATAAATAAATAAAAATTCCTACAAAGTCACTTTTTCTTTTTGTCATTTGACAGATACAAAGGAAGATACTTGGAATTTCCCTACACGTTTTGTCCTTCAAGAACGTGGATTGATGGTTTTTGTTTGGTTAATCAGAAAATTCATGGACCACAAATCAAAATTCTTGAAGATATAGCTATCAATATCGTATACGACATATATATATATATATATATATATATATATATATATATATATATATATATATATATATATATATATACACACGTATGTATGTATATATATGTACATTACTTCGTTTAGTATAATCATGATGTGTCAATAACACAATAAAACCTTCTTCTTGTTTACGATTCTTCGGATTTATCAATATAATTGTATTTTATTATGTGGATTTAAAGTAATCCAAACTGCTATTATAAGTAGCCTGCCAGCATTTCACGTCGGGTAATCATTGTTGTTTCAAAAAAAAAGAAAAAGCTATGAAGCTAAAGCTCGTATCCACGATGATGGTCGGGTTGTTTGTGGTCTCGTGTGTGGTAGAGCTTCACCGCTTCGAGCACGCTGCGAAACCGGATGGGTCGCTGAGCTTCTTGGTGGTCGGAGACTGCCAGGCTGGGGAAGAAGAGGACACTATAACCAATCTTCAGGTGTTTCTCTTAAAACTGTTTTCATAAAAACAACATGCACGTGTACTAACTTATCATGCATGATTAACATACAAGTTTTCGTATCGAAATACTTTTTATCGATTGGATTTAACTCGGTTGATATTATTATCGATAATAATATAGATAGTTTAGTTATTATCTTCAAATAATAATTTATTTATATGGTTCAGATGGGAATAATCGGGGAGAAAATCGATATTGACTTCGTAATCTCGACCGGAGATAATTTTTACGACAACGGACTAACCGGCGTCCGAGATCCATCCTTCCATGAATCCTTCACTGATATTTACACAGCTCCCAGCTTGCAGAAACAGTGGTACACTGGTATTAATCTTCACTGATATTATCTTTTAAAAGAAAAAAAATTAACATTGTAATCATGATTATAGGGGCAACGTTGAGGCTCAATTAAGTCCTATCCTTAGAAAGATGGATAGCAGACGGCTTTGTTTGAGATCTTTTATCCTTAATGCTGGACCTGGTAATCAAGCTTTTATATATATATATATATATTCAACACATTTTTAATATTTTTCCTCATTATTTGTTGGCAGAAATGGCTGAATTTTTCTTTGTAGACACTACACCATTCGTGTCCAAGTACTTCACTGACCCAAAAGACCATGTTTATGACTGGAGAGGCGGAAGTACCTCAACAGAAGTTGGATTGTAACCCTTTTTTAATCATGGAAATATTCGTATTCGAATATGTATCTGATATGAATATATCATAGAGGAAGTGGAATCGGCTCTGAGAGAGTCGTCGGCGACGTGGAGAATAGTAGTGGGACACCATCCAATCAAGAGCGCCGGACACCACGGGAACACCGACGAGCTCTCTGATCGTCTTCTCCCACTTCTTCAGGCGTACGATCAATGGACATGACTAAAGAGTGTTTGTTGGTTATAAACTTATAATGGTCGTAGTGGGATTCAATTTATGACAAGTGGAGGGGGATCAAAGGCATGGAGGGGAGATGTTGCCACGTGGAAGAATCCAGAAGAGATGGAATTTTATCGCGACGTACAAGGGTTCATGTCGGTGGAGATGACAGGGAAAGAAATTGAGGTTAAATTCTATGATGATGTTGTGCACAGATCACCTTGCTTTCGCTGTCTAGGGGAACCTTTGCTTTGGCGATTGTTTAATGGCATCACCCAAATGAAAATGGTTGAGAGAAACTTGGATAATCATGGGTGACCTTTATGTAATATTTAGCCGGCCACGGATCCATAAATATCTTTCAAGTCGATCATACGTATATATTAATCAAATAAATTTTTTATACAAAATGGACACAACTATTAAAATATATAATTATTTAAAAAAAATCAGATTCTAAGATGAACGGGTGTACACCTTAAATCTTTCATGGATATGTCACTATATTTAATTAATTGCCCGTCTAACTCAGTTGGTAGAGCGCAAGGCTTTTAACCTTGTGGTCGTGGGATTGAGTCTCATGGTGGGTAATTTGTTAAGTTTTAAAATAAATAAGTATTAAAATGGGCTAAAACTCATAATTTATACGTTAAATACATAATTTACCTTTTTTTCTCGTCTCTGCACCATTGAAATTTAAAAGATGTTCCTTGTGCACGAAAAAACACTGGAGGGAGGAAGACGCACAGCGGTTATGAGTTCGCTATTTAGATAGTTTTTTATTTATAACCACCAATATCCTATTTAAATATATTAAATGACTAATATGGATCGAGTACTACAAAGACAAGAAAACCCTCAATCAAATTTACTCCATCGTTAGAATTCGAACCCCTAAACTTGCTTAAAAGATCTATCGTCTCATCTCAGGCATATTCGGACAAATTCAAAAAAGTCAAGGATTAAGACAGAACTTTGAAATAATTTCGTAACAAAACTTGTAAACCAGATAATTATAAGGACCAAAGTCAAATTAACAATGGAGTTTCCGCCTACCATGTGATTTCATTTAATAAGATAACCGAAAAAAGAACTTGAAAGTTTCGAATGTAGCCGCTCTTTAAACTCATTGCACTTCATAGCCTACCTTTCTCTGAACTTAACTAGTAGCAGCTTTGCTCGACCTTACCGTTTGTTCTTCCTTCACGGCTATACCGCATTCCCGAATCCGTCTACGCTTCCGTTACACTTCTCTTTTTTCTGGTTGGGAAGCTGTCTCCGCCGGAACATTGAGTTCGGTTGCAGTAGTTAACTCTTGCGATGATGGATTACTAGAGCCTGGTGGAGGAAGGAAAACTCCGGTTCCAGGAATAGGTAGGCGAGGTGAAGGGTGCCTTGAAGGAGGGGCCGGCCATGCCGTCGAACCAGGTGGGATGGGAACCGGAGCATGAAATGACATTGCAGGAGAAACTGGAGTGGGCACAAATAGAGGCTGAACACCGTTCGGAGGTGGGATTTGTGGGTGATTTGGTGTGGCTGGGAGTACTATCGATGTTGGTATTGCTGTATATGGCTTGGCACCAACGGAAGGGCAAAAATGGTTGGGTGATCTACTAGGAGGAGGACCCCATTTTGAAGGCTGAGAAACCGAAGGCGATGGAAACCTCTGGTTGTCGGTCACGAATTTCTTCGGTTGATACTTTGTAAATGTGATGAGTACGCGTTGTTTTCGGACGGAGGGAAGCGCATGTTTAGCGAAATCACAAGATTTTCCTTGCATCACAAGGAGGGAACTGCACGATAGTTATGAAATACACTATTAGGAAAATGATCAAAGATAGTAATCTGAAACATGAAACATTCTCGAAGCACATCGAAAGGCTGTGAAGGCGATAGGGTAGAGAGAAAACGGTTAAATAATTACCCCGGTGCAAGAGAAAGCTTTAGAGAGCCTCTAAAGTCCCCAGGATGATCGAATGCAGCAACTCTTCCAAAAGTAATATCGCACTCGGTCAAGAACACGATGCAAACCGGTTTTCCATACCAAGATGGCAACATGTGAGGTGGTGAATGATCCCCCTTGATATTTAAAAAGAAAAGCATAATATTAGTATCAATGCTTAGCTCATTTTCCAGCAAAACCACCAGAAGCACCATCATTAACTACCTCATTATAAACATCGATGATGCAAGAGTCCGGCTTTGCAGTTATAACTTGCAAGTCGACCAAACGATCAATAGCATCTAGCAGCAAGGAAGGAATGGCTTCGATTCTCCGCTCTGGTAATGCATAATCAAATTAGAAGGCGTTTGAAGTTTAGTTACTTATCAGTCGATAAACAAATATGTACGCTACTTTGTACATGTGTGTGTTCGGGGGGTGGGAGGAAAGAGTTAAGGGGGAGAAGGCACATCACAGGAAACATGCCTCTGGAAGTCCCTGCAGCAGTTTCATCATCTAGAGGAGCATTCGCGATTGGAAGGCCCAACTGGATCATCTCTCGACCATGTCCCTTAATTGGCTTTTTCGAAACCACATATGTCGGATCTGTTTCTCGCAAATTATCACATAAGAATTCAGCTCTTACTGATATCGTTAGTAAAACTGAACGCAATTTTGTAGGCCTAATCAACGTGACAGCGCTACAGAATCTGTCAAGTAGAAGCTTCCAAGGAACAAATTCAATTTTCGAAAGTTACCTCCTGGCTAGACCAAGAAAAAAAATGAACTTGTAAGAATACTTGCCTTGAAGTTCCCCTCTTTTCCCCGTTGCCCTTAAATCATTTACCAACGAGACAAGATTCGAAACGTCCTTCTCATCAAACAGTTCCTCGTACAATTTTAGCCCATCCACCACATTGACCTTAACATATAAAAAGGCTTATCAGAAGTTGAAGAAGTTTGCGGTGGGAGAAGCAAGAAGCTATCAGTACATCAAGAATTTCACAAAATAATATCGTAACAATTATAAGGAATTACCGTCTTTCCGTCAAACATCTCGTTGCAAACAAAAGTTTTTGGACCCGTAACATTCTGCTTTCCATTCTGATTTTGGGAGGAATGTAGATCTTTCTCTAAAAGATCATTAATAGAAAAAGAATATTAATACAACAGAACACGGTGAAATTAGTGTCAAAACTCTCAAGGAATTATTCGAAAAACCTGAAATATTTGAGTTTGAGCATTCTACATGGTGCAGGTGTTGAATCAAACATGCAATAGCTAAAAGCAACCGAAGTAAAAGGTGGTACCTTTACAGCTCAAGGTGTATCCTCCATTTACATCCTCAGTTCTCAATTCTGTATTTTCGGATGCAGTTCCCTTCGAAGACCCTGAATTTATTAAGCCGCTATCAGCACGAGGTTTGGAGACAACATCTGAGTACAATACATAACCACGATGAAAGAGTATCAATTAACTTTTCTGGAAAAAAGGTTATTACCCAATGCGGTATCACAAAGAAAGCTTGAAAACGAACCAAAATAGCCTTCATCGAGAACAAAAGGAAAACTCCTTGGGAGTTAAAGAAAAATCCCAGGACAATTGCCCTCCGAACCGATAAATCGTCCAATGCCAAAACACAATTCTAATCAAGTTAAGAAAGTCTATGTTGTGATACCTTAACAGATAATTTTCACAATATGACGACACTCCATGTTATTCTTCGGCTACGACATTTGGTAACAAAGCATGAGTTTTCATCCTCCCGAATGATCGTAAACAAGTTATTAAATGCGTGCCTCTTATGTATTCTTAACCATCCCCAGCTGTAAATTAGGCATGTAGGTATATCATACATGGACATTAAAGTAAAAGTGACAAATATGGAATGTAATAGCAATTTCCAACTAAGAAAGCTTGCTTTAAAATCCTTTAATTTTAACAGAAATTTTTCCAAAAGACAAATGGTTACTTTCTAGTTTAGGGTAATTTGCCTAATCCGAGAAAGATTGCGAATTCGACATATATAGAAACACCATGCTTTTTAAGCAAGTAAATACAAATTTCATGAATTCATCACAGATAAATGACCAAACATATCAAGCTAACAATACAATACATCATTCAATTTCACCACAATGTAAAACATGAGCCAAGTAGTTACCATTCTTATCCTCGGTGACAGCCTCGTTCCGGTCCGAAACTGCGGCCACAGTCGAATTTCCATCACTATCCACCCCAGAATTCTGCACATCTTTAGCTACCTCTATCCTATGTCCCTTAAACCCGGTGCCGGATCTTCTAAATTCTTTCCCCCCAACTTTCTCTTGATCGTAATGCCTTTGTCTCCGGCTCCACACGACCTGTTGGAGCGCCTGCGAAACTTCGGCGACCGAGAAGTATTGCTGCATATGAAGCACGGGGTTCCAATGGCATCTCCTTTGTTGAATGCAAGCTATGACAGCTTCATACTCCCCAACGCCACCGACCTCGCGCAAATGTTGACAGAGAATGTCGATCATGGCATTGGCGGCGGCGAATTCCCCTCGCAACCAATAGATAAAGCCGTCACGTTCATCGGGGAGCCATTGCCGGAATTGGTGCTGATGGATCTCTCCTCCTCCACCGGATCCACGGCCACCGACATATCCGGCAGCTGCAGGCCCAGGAAACTGAATTTTATCAGACAAAACTACACTTCCCGATGGCATTGCCATTGAGGGATAGAAAAAAGCTCCGTAAACCAATTCAACAATAAACCCAGACTACTAAAACAACATATATGAACTAAAATACCCTTAATCCAGATCTAATTAATATAAATCCCAAAATATCCAATCGGATCACGTTAACTCTTAAATAATTCAACTTCAAAACAATTCCGTGAAACAAGAAACAAATGGGTTTCTTTTAATTTCCTTGTTTACTGGGTTTAAGCCGATCTAATAACAGAGTCGCAATGGGAAAAGGAAATGGGTAACTAAGGGAGCTAAAGCAATGACAAAATCTAATATAGAAATTGGGGTTGGTCTAGTTTAGTCAGATCTGGGGGGGGGAAAATCGGATCTTTCGCTTTTGTTGTGTTGTGCGTGTGAAGCTACAGTGGTTCAACACTGACGTGAGTGCTAAAGAAAACTTTTTTAAATAGAAAAAGAAAAGAAGACGACTTTCTCGAGCTGAACAAAAATGGCTTATAGATCACGCAAGCATGTGTGTGGTCTTAAATGGTGGCTAAAATCAAAACAAACTTCGTTTTTTTCATTGAAAATTTATATCTTTTTGAGCTTGATGGATAGATCTTCGAACCTTAGTGGAATATTCGATGGTTTTTTCATGAATTATTAATGAAATAAAATCAATTTTTATAATTAAAAACCTTTTAATAAATTCATGGAAAACGTTTATATTATTTTATGCAATTACAATGCTTTGCTTCGAATTGGAGGCTTCATGGTAACTATTTAGATCATTGAAATGGTTGCAACTTGATTGTCAGTAAGAAACGTGATCTGTCAAGAGTGTTCCTGCTGAATTGGTATCTTTGGTGCTGTTGGTCACTATTTATCGGTCTCCACCGACGATAAGCTCCGAGAAACCGACCATCGGGGAATGGAGTGGCATCCGATGTCTGAATTAACTATTCTAGATCGGAGACTAACCCCTTGTCGAGTATGTTCACCATGCAGAATTTTAACATAATCTGTTTAGCTTCATTGCAAAATGCAGGAAAGATATTGCACGTTCTCCCTATGGTGCTATGCATGGCAAATCTTGTCCTGTATATTACGACGAGAAGGCGGAAGGCGGGTTGTTTACGGGATTGGCGAAGTATATGTTACTTGAAGTATCCTAGGACACCTCCGAAAGGTTCGCCGATGCACTGCAGATGCCACAGCATCATGATCTTCCGGTCGTGTATGTCACAGATTCGCATAGGCAAGACTTACCCGAGATATTTTTTCCTGCTCTTTTAAGCCTTTTTTCTTCTTCTAAAGATCATGCAAGTTTTCTCCTAGAATTCAAAACTAGGCGGTCGATAACTTTTCCGGAAAGCATCTTCAGGACTTTTATGCTAATATCATTTGTAGCAATCGAAGACTTCTTATCCACTTTGCACATGATTTTACGCCAGTGCTTATGGATGGATGACTATGAAATTGTTTCAAGTGCAATTTCAAGTGCAAGTTTTTTCAACAATTTGTGATCCATGTGATCCTTATCCTATCAGATCCGAATCCGTCGAATTCGGGTTAAATTGTCATCCCATGGCAGGCGTACTAGCCCCGAACTTTGGACATTAAGTGCAACAGTTTTGGGTGTTGCAGATGATCCACCAAGAAGAAAAGCAAAAATGAAACTTGAAATTAATAAAAAGAAAAAGTACTTTATTGAACGATTCTGTAAAAGCTATGGAGAGAAAACATAACTGATAAAAGTGGACTCTGTAACCTAAAATAATATATATATGTGTGTGTATATGTGCTGTCACCTCTCTCTATACACAACTGATCACCGCACAGCTGTGAAGGACCTAATCTGAGAATTCGGCTACGTAAGGAGTGTTGCGGAAGACAGCTATCGGATAGAGCAAAATCGCAACTGATAATTTGAGAAAATAAAAATGAAGATAAAAAGAGACACAAAATTTACGTGGAAAACCCCTAAATAAAATAGGGTAAAAACCACAGGCAACGGTAGAAGAATTTCACTATGAGAAAATAGGAATTACAACATCTCTCGATCTACCAAGGAGAAAACAATGATAATTCTCTCTCGATAAAAAGGAGAAAAAAACTCTCAAGAAACTCTCTAAATTCTCTATAGTATTGGAAGAAAGCTAGAATGCTTTGGGATGGTTTTGAAGCTAAATGAGCTAGGGTATTTATAGTTGAAGCTTAAGGACTAATTTGTAAATACTCTAAATTATAATGACTAAAATTTAGATTTTACCATTTCAAAAGTCATAAAAATCATGCTGCCAATTACTCCAATTGCTCCAATTGCACCGAAAGTTTCTCAATCAATTTCCACCGAAAGTTTGGTGGTTTGCAGCTATTGTTGACTTTTCAATTTGTATTTCAACAATCTCCCACTTGAAGATTTGATTGGAACAATCATATCTTCACACCATTCTTTCTACCTTGTACCTTCATGTTGCTTACGTCTCTGACAGGCCACAAGAGGATCGACACCAGGTAAATTTATCAGCGTTGATCGCCTTCGTCATGAAATATGCTATGTTGTCTTTGGTATGGATCTTCTGCATATCTACTGTCCCTTCTTCCACCTTTTCACGAATGAAATGGTACTGAACTCGTATGTGCTTTGTCCTTGAATGAAATGGTGGATTCCTTGCTAGATGCAAGGCGCTTTGACTGTCACAAAACAGAGAGACATACTCTTGATTGTTCTCAAGCTCCTCCAATAGGATCTTCAACCAAATTGCTTCTTTACTGGCTTGTGTAGCTGCTACATATTCTGCCTCTGTTGTGGACGTAGCCACAACTGACTGCAATTTTGAAACCCAACTTACAGCTCCACCAACAACTTTGAACACATATCCTGTAGTAGATTTGCTTTTATCCAAATCCCCTGCATAGTCAGAATCTACATACCCATTGATTAGTAAGTTTGATCCTCCGTAACATAATGCAACATTTGAGGTCCCTTTGATGTATCTTAGGATCCTCTTTACAATATTCCAATGCTCTTTACCTGGATTCGCCATGTATTGACTAACCACTCCCACTGCTTGTGCAATGTCTGGTCTTGTGCATATCATAGCGAACATTAAACTTCCCACTGCTGATGCATACGGTACTCGAGACATCTCAATCCTCTCTTCTTCGCTGCTAGGACTCATACTGGAGGATAATTTGAAGTTAATAGGAAGAGGGGTAGAAATTGGCTTACAATCTTGCATGTTGAATCGTACAAGATCTTCTTCAAGTAATTCTTTTGTGAAAGCCAAATCTTCCTATTACTTCTGTCTCGGTGAATTTTCATCCCTAGAATCTTGTTTGCTGATCCCAAGTCCTTCATTTCAAATTCCCTAGCCAGTTGTGCCTTCAATTCTTCAATATGATCTTTGTTGGGTCCTGCAACCAACATGTCATCCACATACAACAGCAATATAACAAAATCGTTATCACCAGACCTCTTGAAATAAGCACAAGGGTCTGCATTAAGTCTGTTGTATCCAAGACACATAATGAAGGAATCAAATCTCTTATACCAACACCTCGGCGGCTGCTTTAGACCGTACAGAGATTTATTCAACCTGCAAACCAAGTTCTTCTTTTCGTCTTCTTCAAAACCTTCAGGCTGGAGCATATAAATCTCTTCTTCAAGATTTCCATGAAGAAAAGCTGTTTTAACATCTAGATGTTCCAGATCTAAATTCAATGTAGCACACACATTGCCAAGACTACTCGAACTGTTGTTAGTCGAACCACAGGAGAAAAAATTTCATTGAAATCAATACCTTCTTTCTGAGCATATCCTTTGACCACCAGTCTTGCACGATACCTCTCCACTTGATCGTCACCATTTCGCTTGATTTTGAAAACCCATTTGTTACCAATTGGCTTCCTTCCTTGTGGTAGTGGCACAAGGTCCCATGTATTATTTTTATGAAGGGCTTCGATTTCTTCTTGCTTCGCCATCATCCACAGTGAAGCATCTGAGTTGTTTATTACCTCCTGATATGTTGATGGCTCACCGTCCTCTGTTAAAAGATAGTATGCAACATTTCCTTCTATAACATAATCTGAGTGCCAATTGGGACGTCTTCTCACACGATCTGATTGACGAGTTGTTGGAGCTTCAGAACTCTCTGGTTCTGCTTCAGAAGAATCTCCTTGTTCAAACTCCTTTTCTACATGTATCTGTGTAGTCTCTGACTTTTCAGCGCTTTCATTGTCTTCTTTTCTTTGTAGCTTATCTTCTATAAAGATAACATCCCTGCTAATGATCACTTTGCGGGCAATGAGATCCCACAAGCGATACCCCTTTACTCCATCAGCATACCCCAAGAATTTGCATTTTCTGGATTTTTGGATCCAACTTTGAAATTTCTTGGGCGTTGTACATCACTTACACAATACTTCCAAATACATGGAGGTTTGAATAATCAGCTGGTTTACCAGTCCACATCTCCATTGGTGTCTTCAGCTCTATTGCAGTTGATGGAGCTCGATTCACCAAATAACAAGCGGTATTGACTGCTTCTGCCCAGAATGATTTTTCTAGGCATGCGTCCCTCAACATTGCTCTTGTTCTTTCTAACAAGGTTTTGTTCATCCGCTCTGCCACTCCATTTTGTTGAGGAGTGTTTGCCACTGTGAACTGTCTTTTGATGTATTCTTTCCTGCAAAAGTCATCAAATTCTTCGCTTGTGTATTCTCCTCCATTATCTGTTCTGAAACACTTGATCTTATTTCCAGAATCAAGTTCCACCCGCACTTTAAAGTTTTTGAAAGTTGAAAACACGTCTGACTTCTTCTTAATAGGGTGCACCCAACATCTCCTGGAGTAGTCATCAATAAATGAGACAAAGTATTTTGCTCCACCTAGGGACGTTACTGGTGCTTGCCATACGTCAGAGTGAACCAATTCTAGAACACTTTTGCCTCTAGAATTTGATGTGTTGAATTTCAACCGGTGCTGCTTACTTGTTATGTAATGCTCACACAAAGGAAGTGATACCTTTGTTAAGCCTGGAAGTAGCTTTTGCTCCACAAGGACTTTCATTCCTTGTTCTGACATGTGTCCAAGTTTCTGATGCCATAGCATTGCCGAATCTGAACTACATGAGGCAACAGAGACTTCTGCTTCTACCAAAGTCCTCCCTTCAGCATGTACAAGTTTGCAGCTATTTTTTCGCCTTTCAGTACCACAAGCGCTCCACGGAACACTTTCATGATTCCTTTCCGTGTTTCAATCTTGCTAGCATTATTATCCAACAATCCGTAGGATAATAAAATTTTCTTCAGACCTTTCACGTGCCGCACATCTCGAAAAACTTTGATTGTTCCATCGTACATCTTCAATTTGATGGTCCCCACG